CTCAGGACAGTGTGGGCAGGTGTGTGCATAAATCACCAATCATGAAATGGGTAAATGTGTTGAAAGAATCTCCAAAAAAAAATTCACTGAAGCTGAATGCAGCCTCTTACAACAATGCTGGCTAGTACACTGATGCCAATGGACTCCTAGAACACTTGCCTAGCAGGGGAAGCCTGTATTATAACAGGCCCACCCTACAAAGAAAAATTCTATTTTTTTATATGTCCCCCACTTGTACTATCTAACCAGGATCTTGATCTTGTTGCTACCAAAGTCCTGAATAACACCTTAGGAAAATGGGAACAAACTCCCAAAGCAACCACCTAGGTGGCAACAAACTGCATGGTTAGAGCAGCTGTGATGGGGACAGAAGCTCCTGGGGGTAATGATAATCTTTGATCTGGAGGGAATTAATGTCTTATAATCCTGTATTTTTATTAAATCCTGTATTAAAATGTCTAAGACAACTTTTCTAGGTCAGTTATGTAACATGATCTCAGTACAATATAATCCCTTTGCCCTTTGGCTGACTTCTCCCTCATTCTTCATGTCAAAGCTTAAGTGTCACCTCCTCAGAGGGGTCTCCTATGACTACCCAATCTCAAATAGGTATTCCCAGCTATTCTCGCTTATTGCTTCATCAAATGTCATTGAGTGCCTGTGAAGTACCTGATCCCTTCATCTGTGTCCTCAGGGAACTTACATATACCAAGCACTTATTAATATGCCAGGCACTATGCTAAGAATCTTACTTTCATTTTCTTATTTAATCCTATGAGATATGTACGATTATCATCACCATTTTACATATAAGGAAGCTGAGGTGCACAGAAGCTAAGTAACCTGCCCAAGGTCACATAATTAATAAAGGGCAAAGCTGGAATTTGAACCCAAGAAGTCTGATCCCAGAGCATGGACATTTCCTTTCATAGCATCCTGTTCTTTTCCTTCCCCCCATGTCTCACAGTGATAATTGTATGTAACAGGATGTTGAGTGAGATTTTTTTCCTGTTGTCTTGGCTTGACTGCCAAGGCACAAAGGTAAGCTGGAAGGTGCTAAACACTCCATGTTTCTAAAGAGAACACTTAACCAGTCTTCGTCAAAGAAGCAGCAGAACTGGCCCTGATACCACCAACCCTGACTCCACCCCAAGTCTGTGAGGATAAGGCTGGACTGGAATAGGGACTCAGCTTATGGGAGATACAGAGTTCCCCATGACAGTATTTCTCCCAAAGGCTGGGGAGGGGATGTTTTCCCCTCCTCCAAGCCAAGGGAGAGTTGGGGGAGGGATTCACTTGCATCCTATTTCCTGGCTGAATTTCTGCCTGAATAGCAGTCCTGCTGCCTGCCCTGTCCTGGGGGAAAAGAAACGTTGGAGAGAGATAGCAGGGCTGACACAAGGGATGGTCATGGGGCAGAGTCTCTCCCACAGCTTGGCATGGCTGGATGGTTGAATCCTCATGCGTTGAATCCTCATGGGTCAAAAGGACACTGAGGAAGGTCCTGGACCTGAGCTGACTTGTGGACCTCCATCCAGATGGCCACCCTCTGTGAGGTGGGTTATAACTGGCAAGGGCTGGAGCTTGGGAGGAAGAGTTCAAATGCCCTTTCCCCTTCTTGCCCCCAACACAAGGGAACTACTGCCTAGAGAGGAAGGTAGGGAGGCGAGTACAGCACAGACCTCACCCAGATCCACGTCAGCCTGTCCTGCAGCTAGTCTTGGCTACTCTGGGAGGGTAGAAGGCTTCAGGTCAGATATGGGATGGGAGTTTAAATTGGTCTGCATTTAATAACTGAAAGTGATAAGAGTAATGGAAACTTTGTGAGATACTTTCAAGGGGAGGAAAGGGGGAAGGAGGTGATTCAACATAGTACAGCCGAGGACAGTGGAAAATCATTAATACTCATGTTTATTCTCAGCAGATTTGAAGTTTCTTGGTGAACTGGTCCATGTGTTTAATCCTGTGCTCATTTATGGACTATCTCCCCTAACCAGACTGTAAGCTCTATAAGGGCAAGACACATCTGTTTTATTTACTGCTCTATCTACAATGCCTAGCAGAGAGTCTGGCAAAATCAGTGTTTGTTGAAGTAAAAAGTAAAAGACACCACTATAGGCATGGAGAAGTCTAATTGGTTATCAATCCTGGTATTCCAGGTATCTGACTAGACTTCCCTGTAGAGGTTCTAGAATCTTAGCTGTCAAAGGACTTTTAGTAAGAGGGTCTCAGGGCAGGGCTTAAGAACGTGCACACTGTAGTCATACAGACCTGGGTTCAAGACACTGTGCTCCACACTCTACGTTTATGTCAAATGACATAACATCAGAGCTTCCCTTTTCTTATCTACAAAATGCCTCTATTATATTGACCTTTCATAATTCTTGTGGAATATAATTGAGATCATGCATGTAAACACCTCAGCACAGTGCTTGGGACAAAGCAAATGTTTAATAGACGGTGATTTTAATTATTAGGGGTGTGCAAATAATGTTTTAGGTTATATACAGCCAAAAAGTTAAATGTAAGAACTGAAACCATAAAACTACTAGAAGAAAACAGAGAAGAAAAGCTCTATGACATTGGTCTGGGCAATGATTTCTTGGATAAGACTCCAAAGCATAGACAATCAAAGCAAAAACAGACAATTGGGATTGTATTAAACTAAAAAGCTCTGTATAGCAAAGGAAACAATTAACAGAGTAAAGGGACAACCCATAGACTGGGAGAAAACACTTATAAATCATATATCAGATAAATGGCTCATATCCAAAATATGAAAGGAACCCAAACTATTCAATAACAAGGAAATAAATAACCCAACTGAAAATGGGCAAATGACATGAATAAACATTTCTCAAAAGAAAACATACAAATGGCCAACAGATATTGAAAAAAATGCTCAACATTACTAATCTTCAGGGAAATGCAAATTAAGATCACAGTGAGCTGTGACTTCATACCTGCTAGAAAGACAATTATAACAAATATGAAAGATAACACATGTTGGCAAGAATGTGGAGAAAAGGGAAACTTTAAACACTGTTGGCAAGAATGTAAATCAGTACTGCCATTTTAGAAAACAGTATGGAGTTTCCTCAAAAAACTAGAATTAGAATTACCATATGATCCAACAAGCGCTCTTCTAAGTATACATCCAAATGAATTGCAATCAGTATGTTGAAGAGATATCTACACTCTCATGTCTATTGCAGCATTATTCACAATAGCCAGGATGGAAAAAACTTAAGTACCCATCAATGGGTGGATGAGTTAAAAAATGTAGGAGATATATATATATACACACAACGGAATACTAATTAGCCCTAAAATGGAAAGAAATTCTGTCATTTGCAACAACATAAATTAACCTGGAGGACATTAAGCTAAGAAAAATAAGACAGGCACAGAAAGATAAATCTCATTGGAAGGTAGAATCTAAGAAAGTCAAACTCATAGAAGTAGAGAGTAGAATGGTTGTTACCAGAGACTGAAGGGGATGGGTGTGGACAGGAAACAGAGAAATGTTGGTCAAAGTGTACAAAGTTTCAGTAAGACAGGAGGAATAAGTTTTGGCAATCGATCGCACAGTATGATGACTATAGTTAATAATATTGTATTCTTTATGTCTGCATAATATTCCATTGTGTATACTGTACCACATTTTTTAAATCCAGTCCAGTTTCGATGGGTAGCATGGTTGGTTCCATGTTTTTGCAATTGTAAATAGTGCTGCAATAAACATGCGTGTGCAGGTATCCTTTTTGTGGAGTGATTTAAGTTCTTCCAGGTATATTCCCAGAAGGGGGATTATGGACTTCACGGCAATTTGGATAGACTTAGAGTGTATAGTACTCAGTGACTTATCAAAGAAACAAAGAACTGAGTACCACATGTTCTCATTCATAAGTGGACCCTGAACATTTACCATAATACTATAAGAAAGGGATAAGTAGCTGGAAATTTCTGGGGGGAGGGGTGGGACACATAACATCAATAAGAGTACCTTATCTCAAACCAGGTGAAGTGGGGACCAAAGGGAGGCCCAAACTTTACCTGTATGATGATCACTTGTATATCTAATCCTAAATTGTACTCCATGTCTTTAAAATAAAGTTTAAAACAATAAAAATAAAAAATAAAAATTTCACAAAAGATTAAAAAAATGTATGATGTGTTTCAAAATTGCTGAACAAATAAATTTTAAATGTTTTCATCACAAAGAAATGAGAGTATGTGAAATGATGGCTATGTTAATTAGTCCAATTTGATCATTCCACTGTATGTACATATATTAAAACATCACATAGTATCCCATACATAAATGCAATTTTTGTTTGACAATTTCAAAAGTAAGATCATGTGGCCTGAACCATAGGAGATTTTTGGAGTAGCCGGGAGCTTGGTTACGGAGTGCCCGATTCTGTGTATGGGACCGATGAGGAGGAGCTTACAGGACTTTTAAGGTGTGTGATGTAGGGATCCAGTGGAGGTCACATGTGGGAAAGGGCTTTACAAACCATTTTGTGAGGAAAAATGTCAGGATTTACACAGTTACAGCCAGAGTTATCATGGGCTTCTGGCATGTTCAGGGTGGCGTTTATTTATAGAAATGCTTTGAGGAGTTAGAGGAGAGGGAAGCTAAGAATGTGTTTCTGTGCAGGAGTGTGTGTGTGTGTGTGTGTGTGTGTGTGTGGAGGGGGGAGAGAGAGGGGAGGAGGAGAGAGAGAGAGAGAGAATTGTGTAGGTTCATCTTTTTCTGGGCTTCCTTTTAACACATACACCCTGTCTTCTCCCTTCTTCCTTCTCCAACTCCCTTATCTACTGGTTATCTGTCTTAGTGCCACCTCCTCCTCCTGTCAGTTCTGTCTGGACTTCTTGTCTGACCTTGAACATCACTCAATCCTTCCGGATATTGCTTCAGCCAGAGTGAGCTGAGTCCTGGCAGAGGCTGCACTGAAAATAATTCACTGTGAAAGCTGGTCTTGTTCTCTTCAAAGGGCGAAGCAGCCTGAAAAGAAGGGACAAGAGTGTCCCCCACCCCACCTCCACCATCTCACAAGTTCTCTTTGGAAACCTCCTGAGATGACCTCCGTCCTTAATGAAACGGGACAAAGAGAATGTCAAGACTTGTTTCTTTTCCAAATAAAAGAGAACACGCTGAAGTGCATTTTAATGCTGTCTGGCAAGAGCGGGTGTGCTGGGGGAGGGGAGGAGGCTGACTGGTCTTTCTTTGCTAGGTATCTGGGAACTTGGTCCACAAGGACCTTCTCCATGAGACTTGAAGGGCAATGTGTCATTCTGGGATAAGACTGTAATTTCTTCAAATATAAAGGTTGTATTTCTCAGTGTCTGCATGTATGAGGGGGGACCCCCCCAAAACCGGAATTATCTTTTAGGAGGGCAGGCCCCTTATAGTACACTTGGAATTTGTTCCTCTGAATCAAATGGTCAACCAAAGTTTTCATCTGGAAGTTTTGAGAAGGTTGCATCACAAGTGAAGGAAGAAATGACCCAAGTTGTGGCAAACAGGTATTCTTCCTCCAGAATAATGCACTCGTTAACCCTGAGTGATTTTTGACCAAAAATATGGCATGACCTCCATGCCCCACTCTCCTTCTTCACCCGAGCTTGCCCCAAGAGACTTATTTTTGTTTCCCCAGATGAAAAAAAATCCTTAAAGTGAAACATTTTGCTGATGTGAAAGAGGTGAAACAAAAAACGGTGGAAGTATCAAAAGGCATCACAATTGACTAATTCAGAAACTGTTTTGAGCAGTGAAAAAAATCATTTTGACAGGTGTGTTGCACCAAATGGAGTGTAGTTTGAAGGTGACTGAAGTTTAAACATGTAAGAATAAATACACGATTTTTAATAAATCAATTCCAGGTTTTTTGGTGTCCCCCTCATGTAAGATCTTCATATCTCCACTTGAGGAGCTGTTCCCTGCCACCCTACTCACTCAGGATTGTTCCTTTCATTCAACTCCTTACAGCCTCCGATGTTTTCAACATTCCCTTTGTTTCACTGAGCATGTTAGTATTTAGAGGAATAGAAATTGAGTGGTTTCGTGCTCCCCATCGAAAGAGGACTGGATAAAAAAAATGTGGTACATATACACGATGGAATATTACACAGCCATAAAGAAGGACGAAATTATGAACTACACAGCAACTTGGATGGACTTAGAGTCTATTATGTTGAGTGATCTATCACAGAAACAAAGAACTGAGTATCACATGTTCTCATTCATAAGTGGGCCTTGAACAATTATCATTAACATTAGAAGAAAAGGATTGGCAGTAGTGGGAATCTGCTTGGGGGAGGGCAGGGCACCTCATCAGCAAGGGTACCTGCATAATGAACATTTGTATACCTAATCTTGAATTGTCTCCCACATCTAAAAAAAAAAGAAAAGAAATTGAGTGGTATCAAAGAAGTTTCAAGGCAGACCCCTGCTCTCCAGGACCTGTGTCCAGGAGGGTGGAAAACAAAGGGGACATTGAAAACTTCGGGAGCTGTAAGGAGTTGAATGAAAGGAGCAATCCCGAGGGAATAGGGTGGCTGGGAACAGCTTCTCAAGTGGAGATATGAAGGAGTGTGGACAGAGAGGAAAAAAGATGGTGGCCCAGAAGGCACAAGAGCATAAGCAAAGGGGAGGTGGCAATGACTGTGGGGTGGTGGAAAGCAGAGAGAGGTAAATGTGCTTGGCCGCAGGGCGGGAGCTGCACCGAGACTGCGGTAGAGCCAAATGAGGGGTATTGAAGAAAATAGGCAATAAGGAGACAGTCTTTACCCAGATGCCATGTGGAGAGAGTAGAGGGTTAGAAAGTTTGGCCGGACGGCTCGAGGAAAGACAGATGAGAAGCAGAAGGTCGTCAGGGGTCATAGTAGGAGCGCAGGTAAGAAGGGATAAAAACTTGGGCTGGAGTGGGCAGTGGGCCTGATTGGATGTGAGTGACCAGGCAGCCCGGCCCCTCTGAGTGAGCTACTTTTGTGGCCTCCAAGTAGAGTGAGAAACTCTTGGCTGGGCCGGCTTGGCCACAGTTATCCTGTTAATGAAAAGTGGCTTGCTGCTTATGTGAATGATCTGTACAACAACAGTGCTGGGTGCAATATGCTCGCCATGCCTCCTAATCAACTCAAGGTTGTAGCATCTGAAGCTGCTTGCTTCTAGCTGTTTGTTTTGTGGTTGGCAGGGATGGCTTGCAGTTGAAGATCAGTGAGCCTACTTTCTACTTGGCTTGGTGAGTGGGTTTTTGAGTCTTCAAGGGAGAACCTATTCTCAGAATTCCGACTTCAATTTCAATAATTTGTTCATTAGACAGGAGTCATGAGTTTACTAAACTTTTTATTTATTTTATTTTATTTTATTTTTTGAATTGGAGTCTCACTCTATCACCCAGACTGGAGTGCAGTGGCCACTTCCGGCCACCGCAGCCTCGACCTGCTGGGCTCCGGTGATCCTTCCGCCTCAGCCTACCAAGTAGCTGGAACTACAGGCGCGTGCTACCACACCTGGCTCATTTTGATTTATTGTAGAGATGAGGTCTAGTCAACTTGCCCAGGCGGGTCTTGAACCCGTGGGCTCAGGCAATCCACTCAGCCTCCCAAAGGCGCGGGATTACAGGCTGAGCCACCGAGCCTGGCTTACTAACCTTTTTAAAGAGGCTGTACTGAGGCCAGGAGCAGTGGCTCACACCTGTAATTCCAGCACTTTGGGAGGCCAAGGCAGGAGGATCCCTTGAGCCCAGGAGTTTGAGACCAGCCTGGGCAACATACAAAAAAATTTAAAAAATTAGGCAGGTGTGGTGGCACACCTGCTACTCAGGAGGCTGGGGTGGAAGGATCACCTGAGCCAGGGTCATGATCATGCCACTGCATTCCAGCCTGGGCGACAAAATGAGACCTTGACTCAAAAAACAAAAAATTGGGAAGACATAAACTTTCCAGAAAGATTCCATCTTCATGAGGGTTAATAAACTCAAATACCTTCAAGAACCAGCAGGTAAAGCAAATGGGTGACTTGAACCAGGTGTATGTAATGGGAGGAGTGGTGTGTGCATAGACCTGGAAATTCAATTTAAAATATACTGTTAGTGCCAATGGAAAAGCATATACTAGCTAAAGCAAGCAACAGGCTGCCACTGTGATTCCTGGTCTAGGTGGTTAAATCTAAGTTCCAGCTGGAAGGTTTTGAAAAGTCCTGAATGGGAAAGAATTTGCTTCCTACATGCAGGTAACCTGGCCTCAAGCATAAAAACTTGGCAGAATCTTGCCTAGCAGAGAAAATATTGACCTTTCTGTTGCCTTTAATGCAGGAGGTCAAAAAGCAGATTGAGCTGCAGCATAAATGAGTCATTTCTTTGTAGCGGTCTCAGACTTAACAGGAAGATGAACAATCTGCATGGAAGAGTTTCTTCTGCCAGTTTTCTAAAATGTCTGTCTTCTTGAGAACAAACTAGTCCCTTTGAGATTTGTCTCAACCTGGCCCTTTAGAGACTCAAACCTCTCAAAGGACAACGGTCACCATAATCATTCCTTTGTTCAGAGAAAACCTTCCTTCTGAAATCAATTATTTCTGACTTCACATCAATTCACAGGGCTGCACTGGGCTACTTGCTATCACTGCTTCAAATTATATTTGCTTTGAGCCATCCAGAAACACAGGAGAATTTGGATGTCTCCAAGCCGATCCTCTGCCATATTTGGAGAATAAAAAAAGCCTTTGCCAGGAGAGCTCAGAGCTATATTTATGCTTTGTTTTCACTGTCACCAGTCCCAAAGCTAGGCTTATTATTGGTTTTCCAGTGAGTTTATTTTCACAAAACCAATATGTGTGTGACGGGATCTGATAAGGCCTTCCTACAGGAAAGAACAACATTCTAAAGTCTGACTTGCTGTTAGAAATCCTTGGCCCTAAATCAAAGTTGGAGATGTATTTCTATGTGGAGCTGAAAGAGACCAACGGAGACTTGGTAAACAAGCAAATGAACATAGAACTGGACCCTAAGGAGAAGAATTGCAGCTTTGATAAATGGCAACCTGATGTGGAAAAGTGCTTTTATTTACATGCCCTCATAGCCAAGTGGCCTGAAATGAAGGCTTTACGAGAGGATCCCAAGCAGACCACATGAGGCAGGGCTCTGAAGTGCAATGAACTCTTTCATTCACCACTAAATTAATCCCGTATCAAAATGGCCTCTGAAGGAAGGATTTCATACTGAAAAGAGAATTTACGTGCAAAAACTTGTTGAATCTATTACATAATTTTGAAGAATGTGCCCCTTTAGGTCATTGGTGTTTGAACTATACTCACAGTGCCTTAACGTAAAAGGATTTAACTTCATTTCATTCCTTTTTGATCTTGAGTTTTGGAGAAGCCACAGCATTGCTGGAATGTGTGCCACATTTTAAATTTAAATACACAATTTATCTTCATCATCTGATTTATGCTTTTGGGGCAACAGTACAACCTTGTACAAGTAACAGGCATTAGGATTACAGACAGGTATTTGTCTGTGTTTATTGTGAGTTCAAATTAGGAAGGAGTCGAAATGGATAAGCCCAAGGTATGCGGGTTTGGCAGTATTCTTGTTTGTCATTTATTATTCAAGGGGAGGGTGGTTTTCTGCTCTAGGTTGCAGCCCATCCTCCAACTTTTATGCAGATAGAGGGGATGTGGGTGATGATTAAGAGCCTTAGACAATCCCTGTTATGCGTCTTCTGCCAAGTGCTGACTGTGTGCCAGGCACTGGCTAGACCTTGGACATTCACAAGTGGGTGGAAACAGGTACGGTCGCTACCCTCAAAAGTTCACACTCTAGGGGGAGAGTCAGATATTAATCACCCTCTCATTACAACTGTTGAATTATAAGCTGTCGTCAATGTCATGAAGGAAAAGCCATTGGTGTTAGCTGAGTTCAGAAGGGAAACTTCTGAAGTTTCCCCCCTAGTGTGGGGGTCTTGGAAGGCTGAGATCTGAAGGATGACATCACAGCAACCAGGTGAAAGTGGAGAGGGATGATGGCGGGGATGTTCCAGGCAGAGGGTACAGCATTCATATAGGAGTACTAGGCTGCCTGGCA